GAAAAGAACGAATACCGTTTCAGGGTCGGATTATGAAAACGCCACACGTCAACCACTCCACAAGTGTCAAGAAATGAATAAATTGACTGGGCCAATTTAGAAAGAGAGATCCTCCCAACTGTACTACGATAGAGGGATNAGGTCATTTAAAGAAAAACAAAGTAAATCAATTATTTTTTGAAAAGGGTGCAGATATAATAATAAATAAATTTTAGAATTGTTAAGCAACGTCTTTAAAACTGTTTAATTGTACTGTTGGGTCCAGGAGGTCTGGAACAAGCAGCATTTCTGCAGACAGCAGAAGTCTGGGATTGTAGAAAAGTTCCACTAACGCCGTTAAATACAACATCTTGAAATCTGATCATTAGATGACAAGTTAGGTGCACTTAGATGTACCTGTGGGGTATTCTCTCTGAATATGTGAAGTTAGCAGAAATCACAAGACTTAATGGTTTTAATGATTTGAAAGATTTTATTTTCCAAAAGCTGAGCTGCAGTTCGTAAGTGTCATTCTTTCCTGTAGGTTGAACACTCCTCCGCAGTCAGGGGTGAGGTCAGAGAAGTTCAAGGAGCTGGGAGTCTTGTTCCCAAGTGATGGCAGGAGGTAGATCTGCAGATGGAGATCTTCCACAGCAGAGAGAGCAAAGAGCTGAGCTGAAAGACAAAGCTCTGGATTTATCAGTCCGTCAACCCTCATCCATAATGTTCACACAATGTGACCGTGATGCAAACCCTGAACTCACTGGAAGGATTATAGATCTTCTCTGAGATCTTCCAGAGGAGCTGGGAAGTGTCGCTGCAGAGGAAGGTCTGCGTCATCTTACATTTAATTTATCAGAAAAATAAAATCAAATAAATAAAAGGCCGCTTTTGGTGGCAAAAGCTTTGTACGAGTAATTTCTTTCAATTTTTTAAAACGTGAATTTTGTATAAAAAAATGGGAGGGAGGAAAAACAAAATTTCATTTTTCGGAGCCACAGCTCTGTTGAATAATTTATCCTTCATGTTTTCAGCAGCTGTGAGTAAATGAGCTTTTTCATATAAACTTTGGTTATAGAGAGAAAGCTGCACACGTTTCCACTGGAGCAGAAAAAGATTTGTGATTTTTTTTCCCCTCTTGTTGGAAAAGTTCAGAACAACTTTGACACAACTTTTATCTAACAGATCAACAAATGTTTCATCAACGCATTAAAGTATGAACTCTTTTTACAGTAATTACCTGACTGTAAAAACACAAACTGGTGACGTGAATTCTTGTCCTGCAGGACCCCTCTCATCTCAGACTGGAACATTTTATTGGAAGGATTCTGAAAAGATGACGTGTTTGTTTACTTCAGTATGTGTTCATAACCAGATAGGAAATACACCAATAATTGAATGTATGGATGTGAAAAGAGCTCATACAACCACACCAGCTCTGGGCTGAAATGCTAGTTTAATCTCTCTCCTTGCATTCAGCCAAGCATCAGGAAGTATTGTTACTCAAAACAACTTCTGCAGGATCTGACCCCGCCTACTAAGTTTGACATCATGGGGGAGGGGGATGGGAAGGCTCCATAGACATCCATAGACGCCCTATTGGAAGCTGAACGGCACAACCATGTCACCACCATATTGGAGGTGGCAGAGAGGAGAAAGCAAAATGCCGCGTAGTTGTGCGGCTTGGAAATATTCTAACACTTCAGATGTTCAAACAAAATAATTCAGAATTACCTTTCACATGTAGGGCTTAACACTTACTATAGATTGTATTTAAACCATAGTCTGCACGATTTTCACCATTTTAACATTGTTTTGGGAGAGTAAACTTGTCAACAAAAATACTGGTTTATGGTTTCCTGCTCACAATTCATATGGCATTTACCTTAGACTCCACACAGTGTTAGATG